TAATTTTAAATAAATTTCATTTGGACGAATTAATTTTTATTCATAAATTCGTTATTTATTTGTAGTTACTGTTAATTGCGTATTATTTGTTTGGGTTAAGAACAGATAACAATTGAAAGCTTACGTAAATAGCACAAAGATCGTATCTAATTTTATAATTAGCATTGTTAAATTATACTTAAGTAATCGTTTACAGAAATGATATTTAAAAAAATTTAATTCATTATTCAATAAATCACTTCTAGATAGAAATGTGGAAAAAACAAACTTGAAAGTTAAATTTTTTTATTGTTTCCTATTTTTATTATTGCTATTTTTTTTTCAAATTGTACTAAGGCATGGGATAATATATACAGTCAAACCTCCACCTCTAAATGGCGGCCATTTATTTTTCAGGAACACTTCCTTTTGAAACACACAAAATAAACATCCCAGCAATGGCCATTGTTCATATTCCCATCAGCAGAGGTTTGACTATATAAAATATTGTATTAAAAAAATATATATGTTTTTTACAGTCAAACTTCTCTCTAAATATATATATTATAACTAATTATAGACTAATTTTACATAATTACAGAAGTTATATTTAGTTATAATACTAAACTATCAAAATCTTTACATACAAAATGCAATTGAAAGTTAAATTATCAAAGCGCAAACCCAGAAAAATCATTATTTTACAACATAATTTTAATTGCGGTTCATTCATTTCAGCGATTATTTACTGATTAAATGAACGATTGAAACATTCTCATGTTTCGATCTCTAAAGAAATGTTTTTTTTTTTGACGTACAGTCATAAATTATTAACAATTTATTTTCCACTTTCCAATGCTATTGTATGAAGAAAAATGAATTTTTGATAAATGGATGTTTCTATGTCTCGACCTCACAAATTTATGAATGATGTTTGGAAGAAAATTTTTAATTGTTTTCGTTTATCTCGATCGTTGCACTTCAGCGATTATCTCTACTTCCTCATTGAAAATATCTATTGAATGTTTCACACTTAATTCACTTAATCTATTAAAACCGTTTCGGAGTTTGCATTTCTAACAGATATAATTAATAAGCTGGCTTTAAAATACAACCTTTGAAACACTTTAAAATGTTTAAATATATATTTTTTAAATTTAAAACTATAACAATGTTGATTCTATTTGTAATTATGTTTTCAATTGTTAAATATATTATATAAAAAAAAAACAATGATATATTTCTTAAAAATTCTTTATGTATTTCATAAATGTCCTGATTTTTTGGGATAATCCCGATTTATGGGTGGTGTCCGTTTCCTCTAAATATACTAAATTTTTCTCGTTGTCCTGGATATTTACAGCAGATATAATAATAATAAAAGAATTCTTATTAATTTCATATATTAAAAGTTTAAAAAGATTTCTGGATCCGCAATGAACATCATAGATACAAAATAAAAGCATTTTGTACCCCTGTAATATATTATTTATACATATATTTAAGACGTAAATATATATATATTTTATAATATTTTTGATAAATTGAAAAGCATTTATGCATGAAGAAACGTTTAAAATTAATTTTTCTTTTTTAAGTGAAAACTGTAATTAGCCTACATGAATAAAAGTCAACTATTGTTCAAATACACTATGTAAAAAGAATTTAACAGTCTATTATTGAAATCATAATAGTAGCACAATCGAATTAGCACACGTACTATTCGCTTAATGACTTAAAAATGTTTTTCAATGTGCAATGTCTCAATTAATAGTCCGATGTTACGACTAATTCAGTTATATATTCGACAGTAGCTTCTGTCTTAAATTTGTTTCAATGGTTCTTTTAAGTTCGACATCAGATGGAAAATATAAGATATATTTTGAAATAATTTAACTGATATGTACAATTTATTAAGCGCTATAATATAGATAATTTAAGTAATTTTTAAATAATGCTGTCTTTATTAATAAAATAGCTTTTTCTTGGAGATGATTTTCACCTGAAATTGTTCTAGCCATTGATGTAAAGCATAGGTATATATTGAACTGTAATTAAAATAATTAACGTTTTGGCTTAGAAAAATGAGTTATTATTTGAAATACTCTTTTTAATGTTTTAAATTCAATGACATTACAATATTATCTTCGTATTGTAAGTGAAAATTTCTATTATTTATGGCAAAGATGATGTATATATATACATATTACGTTAAATATCTGAATATATTATAAATATTGCGGTTTCCTATAGAGAATTTTAATATACACATATATTAGAGAAGTTGCGGCCGAAGTTTTCATCTCTAAAACGTGAACGTCGAACGTCGAGCGCCGCTTACAAGATAGTGGCTCGACGTTCGACGTTCACGTTTTAGAGATGTAAACTTCGGCCGCAACCTCGCTATTTATTTGACAGATCCAACGTTTACAGACAGAAAGTTTGGAAATTACATCTCTAGAAGGAGGATTCAGTATTAAGAACCATATAAAAATATTGCTCTTTGTGTGATCTGATAGAATATGATATTTTTATGACTAATGAGATAAAAGAAATTACTAGATATTGACTATATTTCTGTATTATTATAATGTCTTAACTATTATTTTAAACATCTCTATGAGTATTTGCTTATACGATCTTCAGGATATTAGAAATATTGAATAATTTAAAGAGTTTCGGTATTTTATATATTAACAAATCTTTGAGAGAATCGTCGATTACGAGTTTAATTTTATACATTGATTTGCAGTTTGATTAAATAATATTTTTCTACCTGAAATAATTAGTCAAATTCCGAATTAAATATTGTTTTTTCTTTCTATTTAATGTTTTTAAAACATAAAGTTACCACAATTTACTCCACTAATTATGTCAAATGTCTGCTTCGTTCACATTTAACAGGTCTCGCCACGTTTCCCCGAATTCTACTTCCTTGAATCTCACTTTTCTACTCCTGTTATGTTGTACAGTAGACCCCCATATAACTGTTGATAATTCCGTGTTATATGAATTTCATGTTGTACGAGTCACTTAGATTTTACAAATACGTGTGCCGGGCTGTGAACGGCTCACGTATTTATAAAATCTAAGTGACTCGTACAACATGGAATTCACATAATACGGAATTATCAATAGTGTTATAGGAGGGGGTCTACTGGTATTTAGGATTATCACTCGGCCAGCTTGAGCAGCAATTTTAATCAAGGCCGGCAATCGGCAAAATTATTTAATATTCGGCAAAATAGTTAAAATATAAACGAAAAAAATATTATAAAAAAGAAGTGTATTTCATTTATTTTCCCCAATTTCCTCCAGGTCATCACTTTGGCCAGCAAAGTCAGTTTCCAAAGATGTCAACCTAGTCGTATCCCAATTGACTGCGGTAGTAAGAATATTAACTAATGGTTAATTAATTAATTTAATAGAAATATTATCTTTCTGCTAGTAAATTTATTGCCAAATAGTGTTCAATTGGAGGGCTAAGTCGTCAAAATTTCTAGACGGTTGAGGCAACGCTCCATCAAGCCCAGATGTACTCAATCGGCGAGAGATCTGGCCAAGAAAGAATGTCGCAACCACGAAGAAATTCGCGTGAGAGGCGTGTCGTGTGGCATTGTCTTGTTGAAAAGTAAGCACGAAGTACTATGAAAGGAACGGTATAAGAATGTCGTCAACGTATCGCTGTGTTGTATGGATGCCACGGATTACCACCAAGAGAGGTCCAGCTACCGAGAAAAATAGCAACCAAGACCGTAAGTTCCTGTTGTCGGGCCGTTTTTCGAAAATAAATGTGGAGACATTCCGGCCATCACCAGTATCTCACATACGTCTGCGCTGATCGTCGAGACTTACTTGTTAGTTCAAAACGGAACTCGTCACTGAAGAACAGTTCCACGTTGGACGGTTAATAGTGATGATTCTGGTGCTGTTACAGCTGCTCGAACAATCACTCTATCTTCCCAGTTTTGTTGTTGCCTTAGGCCGTCCACTGCATGTTTTTCGCTGAACTTTGTCATTTAAGACCCATTCGTGCAAGCATCGTCTAACTTGCATCGCTCCGACCAAAATGCTGAGCACTATGTTGATCTGTCCATCTTAGTCCGGTGACACATCTTTAAAACTTATTTACAATCAGTGATGATAACTTTTTTTCTTACTCTTTCCGCCCTGTGGGCACTAAGAGAACCTCTTATAGCAGGCCCATTATGGGTTCGGTCAGGCCCACAATGGAGCGACAGGTCAGGCCCACAATGGGTGGGGAGGGACGACCTGTCTGGATTCGATCCCGGGTCCCCCAGAGCAGTAGGCTGCCACCTTGACGGCTCGGCCATCCGGCCAGTCAAACTCCACTGGAAATATGGTCCTTCAAAGAAAGAATCACTGTATAGGCCTACATCCGGCGTCAAAATTAAGTGTGCCTGCCAGGTATTTACTATTAAAGATCAGTTTAATATTTTTTAGAGCATTTTCATTATTTCATTTATTTATCAGTAGGCCAACAGAATGGCCGAGCGATCAAGATGGCAGTCTAGTCTAGGAGACCCGGGATCGAATACGGACGTGTCGAAAAATCCCGGGGTGGTCCGTCCGTATTTCAGGGCGGCCGGATGTGTCGGGCCTCGTCCCTTAATACCGACGGGCCTGGTCGAACCCATAATAGATTTGCTAAAAGAGGCTCTCTTAGTGTCCAAAGGGTGAAAAGAGTTTAAAAACATCTATATAGCGATGTTTAGTGACGTCGAATTTTTCAAAATGATATATCGAATCCGATACATCGATATTTTGAGAATTTTGTGTATCTCTAATCTCAATAAAAATGACCATACGAAATAGGAGAGTTCTAAAGATACAGTAAAACCGAATTCAAATACAATCCAATTAAACTAATTTAAAATGGATTTTTTTTTACAATATTACATCCATTTTTAATTATATCGCATTAATAATATATAATCTTTAAAATTTTTATCGTCAGGAATTTATTAATTTATATAAATATTCACTTTTTGATCGGTAGATGTCTCCCAAGCTGGTTGCGTCATTACTTGTAAACACGTTACGTCAGTTCACTTTAGTTCATTCAATGTATGAATTACATTTGACTTTTATCTCGCCGTTTTTATAAAACCTTGTTTTTTTTTGGTAATTATGTTATTTGAATATACTTTTTATCCTATACAAAACGATCTCGTGTTAGTAAACAAAGAATTTCAATTGTATTTCGAATATGTTATTCCTTCTTTTACGCCTTTTCCTATTCTATGGCGATGTTATCCGGAGGCTCGTGTACAATTTCTGAGATGTCGCGATTTTATTGAATATTTAACATATAAGCAGTTAATTTTATATATATAATTAATTCTATATTTGAAAGTTACTTCAAACATTTAAAATTCAATTTATTTTTTAGAATATTGTTTTCTAGCAATTTTTTATGTTCTGATTGTAAAAATTAATAGTTTGATATTGAACCAGTAGTATGTTATTCTTTGGGCAATTGGAGGCTTCAGGCAATTGCCCTTTTAAAGGGTAATTGCCTGAAGCCTCCGCCGGCAGGAGCCCCAAATCAATCTTTTTATAAGAAATGTTTTCCCCAAATATTTCCCAAAAAAAATGACCGGAGTCGACACCGTACCCAGATCCCATAATTCAAATTTGCCAGTGAGCCCATCAAGCTATAGCGTGCCATGTATTGATCAATGGATTAATTATAAATATATAATTTTAATCATTATTTTATTTATTTATATTATTATTTTTTAATTAGTATTAATAAGAATTTATTTTTATTCTATTAGAATATAATAGGCCATTTTTTTTATTTTTGTTTCTATATTTCAATTAAATTTATTATTACAGAATTTATCAGTGTTGTAGTTTTAATGAAAAGTATTCGAGTGTAGTAGTAATTTAAAAATTTGCATTAAATCTAGTGAAAAAACACTTTTCATAACTTAAACTTATATATTCAGTTTTAATGAGGATAAAGTGTACTTAATATTTTTATTTATTTTACGAGGAAATGTGTAAATTCTAGGTAATTGTTTTCTATACATTTACGACGTGATTGGTATTTTCCTATATATGTACATATTTTTTTAATATTAAAATAATGTGACAATTGTATTGCAGAAAAATTTAGATCATAATTTATGTAATCTGTGATGAAGAATAAAAACGATTTAAAAGACTAAAAAGAGTAAAACATATATATGTATATATATAAAAATATAAATTATTTTATTTTTGATATTTAATTTTGTTTACTTCTTTTTATATAATATTAAGAAAAATGAAAGAAAAACTCTAGTTACAAATTAGAAATCAGTTTATTGATTATTATATATCTTTAGTACATAATGATACAAAGAAATGGGTTAGTTAAAGACTATTAAAAATAAAAATTAAAAAATAAAAAGGAAGTGAAGTTTTTTATTTTATAAATGCACATAATATGAATTTGAATATTTTTGAAAATGGTGCTTATATTAATTTAATATTATCGCATAATTAGTTAAAAATTAAATATCTTTTTATGTGATGGCCAGATGGCTGAAGTGATTAGAGCATCAGCTTACTATTTTGGAGACTGGGATTGAATTTGGATGAAACAACTCTAAGGATTTTTCATGGATGGCCTGTCCTAGATATGTTGGGTCTTGTTCTCCACTGCCTGATTGCCCCATTGTGGGACTGGCAGAACCTATGGTGGTGTATGATCCTCTTAGTGCCTATAGGGGAAAAAAGTAAAAATATTAAAAGAAAAACTCTGCTCAATCATTACTACTATAAATTGTCTGCACAAAGTTTTAGTATTTGCTGAAACAAGCAGTCACATGTCACAATATGTATGTTGAAATGTGATTGGTTATTTGAAAAATATCAATATTTTGTCTATGTAGAATTGAGGAATCTTGTCTTGAAAAGAATTGTAGAATTACTGTGCAGTTTTTTAAATTTCAGATTACAATATTTACTTGTTAAAATATTTAATGTCTTATTAGTTTATAACTTTTATTATTTTTTAAATACAATTCATATTGATTTGATTCTTCTGTAAGAAAATTCTAATGGCCTTCATTACTTCTGTTTGAATAATAAACAATGTTAGTTTTCGGATTGTTTTAATGAAGATAATTAATCTGTCAAACAAACTTATCATTTGATAAAGATAAAAATTTTTAATTTTCATGATAATGATTATGATTATTATTATTATTTTTTATGTGGAAAGACAGTTTTGAAGAAAATGAATGTGAAATAACTCAGAAATGATTGTTTGAAGTCTTATGAATTCATATCATCTCAGAATATAGTTTTATTAAAAAATAACCTAATATATCTATTATTGAAAAAATTTAATTACAGATAAGTGAAAACTTATTAAATTTTTTGTATTTCTCAAATATGTAATAAACATTTATCTAAATCTAATGCTTTTATCTATCNCATCTATTTGATTTTTTTTAATTTAAATTTGGCTTAATAAATTATGTGACTTCTATTATTCGATTGGCACTTCGATGAATTTTTAACGATTGTAAACTTGTTTTAATGAGTAAGCGACTTTCTTTTTGTGAAAGAAACATTGTTTTCTATTTAATAATCCGCCCTAACCTGGATTTATTTTGCCCTCGATTGAATTTAGTATATTCGAAAATTTCTAATACGTATAATCTACTTATTCGATTATATTAAGCAACAGTTCTTTGACTGGAAATTTACCTTTGATGAATTTCATTATAAAAATTTTCCAAATAAATCTATGCAATACTTGCATGAAAATTTATAAATGTATATCTTTATTAAACTACTTTCTAAAGAAAAATAACAGAAAAAAAATAATAAAATAAAATCTAAGTCAAATTAACTTGAAAACACATTTTTTCTTACCTTAAAAAAAATGCAAAATATTATTTATATTAATATATTATAATTATTAAAGTATTAAATAATACATATTAATTTTTTTAATATAATTAACAAAAATAAATTAAAAATAGAAAGTAAAAATTTTATATTTTAATTAAACAGTTACATATATATAAAATTGTTTAGTTAAGAGATAAATAAATTTAATTGAATTAAAAATTAAATTTTAATTTCGTTTTATATTATTTTATCATTTTTTTTTANTATATATGTACATATTTTTTTAATATTAAAATAATGTGACAATTGTATTGCAGAAAAATTTAGATCATAATTTATGTAATCTGTGATGAAGAATAAAAACGATTTAAAAGACTAAAAAGAGTAAAACATATATATGTATATATATAAAAATATAAATTATTTTATTTTTGATATTTAATTTTGTTTACTTCTTTTTATATAATATTAAGAAAAATGAAAGAAAAACTCTAGTTACAAATTAGAAATCAGTTTATTGATTATTATATATCTTTAGTACATAATGATACAAAGAAATGGGTTAGTTAAAGACTATTAAAAATAAAAATTAAAAAATAAAAAGGAAGTGAAGTTTTTTATTTTATAAATGCACATAATATGAATTTGAATATTTTTGAAAATGGTGCTTATATTAATTTAATATTATCGCATAATTAGTTAAAAATTAAATATCTTTTTATGTGATGGCCAGATGGCTGAAGTGATTAGAGCATCAGCTTACTATTTTGGAGACTGGGATTGAATTTGGATGAAACAACTCTAAGGATTTTTCATGGATGGCCTGTCCTAGATATGTTGGGTCTTGTTCTCCACTGCCTGATTGCCCCATTGTGGGACTGGCAGAACCTATGGTGGTGTATGATCCTCTTAGTGCCTATAGGGGAAAAAAGTAAAAATATTAAAAGAAAAACTCTGCTCAATCATTACTACTATAAATTGTCTGCACAAAGTTTTAGTATTTGCTGAAACAAGCAGTCACATGTCACAATATGTATGTTGAAATGTGATTGGTTATTTGAAAAATATCAATATTTTGTCTATGTAGAATTGAGGAATCTTGTCTTGAAAAGAATTGTAGAATTACTGTGCAGTTTTTTAAATTTCAGATTACAATATTTACTTGTTAAAATATTTAATGTCTTATTAGTTTATAACTTTTATTATTTTTTAAATACAATTCATATTGATTTGATTCTTCTGTAAGAAAATTCTAATGGCCTTCATTACTTCTGTTTGAATAATAAACAATGTTAGTTTTCGGATTGTTTTAATGAAGATAATTAATCTGTCAAACAAACTTATCATTTGATAAAGATAAAAATTTTTAATTTTCATGATAATGATTATGATTATTATTATTATTTTTTATGTGGAAAGACAGTTTTGAAGAAAATGAATGTGAAATAACTCAGAAATGATTGTTTGAAGTCTTATGAATTCATATCATCTCAGAATATAGTTTTATTAAAAAATAACCTAATATATCTATTATTGAAAAAATTTAATTACAGATAAGTGAAAACTTATTAAATTTTTTGTATTTCTCAAATATGTAATAAACATTTATCTAAATCTAATGCTTTTATCTATTAGCAAATGGAACAAATATTAGATTAAAGATGGTAGTTTATTAATAAGTATTAAGATCTTATTTATACTGTATATATATATATATATATAAAGATGGTAATGATTTTGTGGATTACAAAAATAATTTTTCAAAGAAAGTGGTCTTTTTTAATATACAGTTGCAAATCTTGTGAATTAATACAGTCTGTAAAGAAATTATAAACTCAAGTGAAATTTCTCTATGTTTTAATTTCTTTTCATCCACAGTTCATTGTTGCTATATCTAATGATTTTAATTAGTGTTAAGAATTTATAATGAAATAAACAAGTCTTTGTATGGTATCATTTTAATAAACAATCAAAAATTTTAATTGTTACAATTTTTTGTTGTAAACAATTTATAAACTCAAGGGTGATTTAGTACGTTTTTAATAATTTGTGGACCCTCCCTTGTTTTCAATTACCTCCACAACTCGTTTAGGCATTGAATCAACCAGGTTTTGAATGTCACTTAGTTTAATTTTGTCCTAGGCATTATACAATGCAACTTTAAGCTCATTGGATGTGTTGTATTGTTTTCCACGGCGATAAACTGATGCCACAAGTTGACTCCAAAGGTTTTCAATGGGATTAAGGTCTGGACTATGTGCTTGCCAAAC